AGGATCAGAGATGAAATGATTGAACCTGAGCCCATGAAGGTCCTACTGGCAGTGCCAACACCCAGTTCCTCAGATGCCAGACCAAGTGTCCCACGCTCCATTATGTGCAGCTCAGAAATCACAAGGGGTGAGAGAGCTCTGCCTTCTGACTGCTGATCCCATGCAGAAGACAAAGAAGAAAGAACCTGAAGAATCATCTCCATTCATTGGCCTTTACCACTAATTCTATTCTTTCATAGAAATAACACTATTGGGACAATTATAACCAACTATCTTTCACATGATTTTACTCCAAAGACAACAGTTATAAAAGTCACAAGTGAAAAGAAAAGCAATCTTTTGGGGCCTCGATTTAGCTCAGTGGTTCCTCTGCCTGCCTCATAAGCACTAGGTTCCGAGTTCGATGCCCGGTGCCAAAAAGAAAGAAAAAAGAAAATCAGTCTCTTAATTTCCATGATTATTTTTTCATGCTTAGAATAAATGAGTTTACAAATATTCCTATGAAGTAAGAGTTCAGTTTCTAGAACTTAATTTCTAGCGTTGGAACATACCTCAAAATCCTCGGAGAACCCATGCTGATTATTAGAATATAGCTCACTGATGTGTTTAACAAATTGTTTCACAGGAATGGCTTCCATGTCATCTGAGGGAATAAAATGATATTCAGAGTCAGAAATACTTCCTCAATGCAAATGACACCAATAAAGCAAATGATACATACTCAAGACAAATATTTGATTTTTGCAAAGCATGATATAATTGTGTAACCTGAAATATGTGTCTTAAGAAAGTGGTTAGGATTTATTTTACATTAGGACCTCATTAGGACCTTGAATGCCTAAAAGTCAAAATAAAAGTTAGGGGTTAAAAAAAATAGGTATGTAGAGAGTTTACTTTTTATATTCACAGCAATTTACACAGTTAAATTACTACATCATACACTTAACTAAAAGTCTGAATTTCCAGTGGTACGTATTTTCTATGAAATGTTGCCATCACTTTTTAAAAAGTTGCTCTTCAGTGGGGTTCAACTTAAACTTGGAGCACTTAAGTTTTAC